AAATAACCCAATAAAATTACCAATATAAAATTTCTAAATTATAAATATCTAATTTAATTTTCTTTTATTTTCCTTATATCAATAATTCTCTAAAATAAATAATTAAAATTATCTATACCTTAATATATACCCTAAAAATCCATACGCATAAATAGGGTCAAATCAAAAATATATATAAATAATAAAATAATTTCTAATAATCCCAAATAACATATACATTGTTATCAAAAAAAAAACAAATATAGATTTCAAATTACCTAATATATTATATAATAATTCGTAACAAACCATTAAAAAAAAATATATATATTTAAATTTTAAATATTATCAAAAAATACTATAACAAACCATAACAAATCGTAATAAACAAAGCCTTAAAATAAATAACATATAAAAATCCTATAATAATAAATCCAATTAATACCCCATATAATACCTCCTCAACCACCCAACCTCCTTAAAAAATATCATCCATTCCATCAATATTCCATTACATATATAATTTAGCAAGGCTATAAACAAATCATATAATAAAAATTTGTTCAATTTAATATAAAATCATAATCTTAATTATCTTCCAATAAAATTTATATTTAATAATATAATTTTAATTTACCCAAATCAAAAAAAATACCAACATATTTTTAAAAATAATACCTATTTCCTTAAGTCCAAACCACTTACAATAAAATAAAATTATTACATTATTTTTTTATTCAAATATATAATTAATATTTATTTTTCAAATATCAAAATTCTAAATATATTAATATAATATCAAATTTATTATTATTATATATAAATATTATTATTTTGAAATATTAATTTGAAAAGGCCATTTCCTCTTCTGCAAGTAATGTTTCAATCTCCTGGGGCAAATAAATATATTTACAAATGGAATATATGCATAGAAGGCCAATTTGACACCTAAAAAAAAACTAATATGATCAGCTAAAATATTGCCCGATTTTCAAATTATAACATTGATGATGATATTGCTGGTGTACAACTTTCATCCAATCTCCTCGTGTGCAGCAATTTGCATCCTGCCAAGTATGCAATATTCAAACTAGTTAAACCATCACTAGGCAACGAAACTGCCAGTTCGGAAACCTCTAGAACTTCTTCTTATACATGGAGTGGCTTAAAGATCCTAAATGTTTCAGCCCAAAAGGGGATAAAAAAGAGCATGCAGAAGCCTGCCATCTGCAGTACAAAACTTCTTCACCGCTTTGAAGCACCCGTCACAGCAATGTCTCTCGAATTTACCTGCTGTGACGCTAGTGCTCCACATGGTGCCGGTGTTGACTGCGAAGGCTGAAATTCAACGTGGAGAAGTTCGCACGTGAGACTTCCGGAGATCATTCACTTGACTTAGCATGTAGCATTGACTGGTGATTTGTCAAACGCCAGCAAGCGGGTACTTCTTCACCCTGACAATCCGAAGTATTCCCCAAAGATTCTTTAGACTTTCCCACTTCCAATTCACTATATATCCCATGCTCTCTACAAAATATATTATTATCAATAGTCAATGCATATTCCATTCATGACCAACAGATTCACTATCTACCACCATTTTGATGCTTAAGTCACCATGAATTTTCTGGCACACAACCACCATCTCTCCTGTCGCTCGGTGTAGTTCAAATCGGTTGCCTGATGCACCAACACCTGCAGCGATTTCCCCACGCTGATACAAACGTTTTTTGCTAAAATCCTCTAAAAATGAAGGTTTTAATGAGTCAATCATCCATAAATGAGGCATTCCTTTTTGTAACCATAGATCTCCCAATCTCTTATACCTAACACAAATTTTATGGTTTTCCAACTAATGTTGGTAAAGCAATAGGATCCACCACCCCCCAATTTTGCAATTCTCATAGCGCCTATAAACCATCAAAAAAATGGGGGTTTATAATTGTTTCACTCACATTAGTGGTTATTTAACCATGATTACTTAAAGGGCTAAAATAGCCAGCCAAACTATGGGGATATCATTGATGATGGTTGATTGATTTCTTTGGTGCTTCCAACTATCGTAAGATCATCATAATCCCCAATACCATCTGGTAAACTAACATAGCTATGGAAAATCACCATTTTTAATGTGTAAATCAACGGTTTCCATGGCCATTTTCAATAGCAAACTATAACAAATTACCAGAGGGTAACCCGAGGGGCTGGAAATTCCACCGATCAGCTGATGCCTCGCGACAAAGTTGAGGTACTTTGCCCTCGGCAACGGTGGGCACCACCAGCTTGTGTGGGTTAAAAACCATGGTCACTTACCCATTTCGAAATGGACTAGTGTATATGTATATTATATAATATTATATATAACATTATAAATATATATATACATATACATAGCCATCCTGAATTATATAGATAGAATGTGGGATGTTCAAAGACATTGTACATGTGGTAGCCAAATTTGGGCACCACAAATTCCCATGTAGAAAATCATCCAAGCCATGTATGATTTGCTGTTCTTCATGGGCTCCGCGCACTGGTAAAAAAAATGCGAAGCTCAGAAACAAATAATGATTGGGACGGTACATATAATCATTGATATAACATAACTAATATAGATAATATATATATATATTTATGATATATATATATATGATATATATATGATATATATATATATATATATATGATATATATATATATATATATATCATATGTATATATATAGTATATGTATATATATATATATAGTATATGTACGCATAGATATGCGCATACAACTACAATTTCTTCCAGCATATGAGTTCTACTCGTGAGCATGCATACATCCAGGCCACAGGTGTCAGGAGTTCAGGCTGGTAGTCCGCCTTCATCCTTCCGCCGCACTCTGTGCTAATTCCTCACCAATGGGGTCACTCAGCAAGACAAGAAGAGGTTGGAGGCAGTAGTTGTACCTTTCGAAAAAAGACCAGTGCGATGGCACCAGCTTTAGGTCCTATCATCGGGCATCGGATCGGCCCGTTGTTGGCTTCCATAGCTTTGCCCTGTGCAGCCCCCAAAAATGGATCTCCATCACAGAGGGGTTCACCAGAGGCAGTGAGTCGAACGATGCTGCGATGTTTGCCCGGGATTGCCATTGGCCATCCCATCTTTTAGTTTGTCATGGTTGACAATCATTGTCCCCCTGAAAACATCATAGAAATTGTCAAAAAAAAATGGGTGTATCAAACATCATCTATTTTAATCATTTAAAAATACATAAAAATACTATTGTCTCAAAAATACAATTTTAATCAACATCATCTATTTTGGTGTTCCCGTTTCTGGACATCTAAACCCTGGTCCACTGCTCCAGGCCGAGAGGCTAGGTCGTACGAGGACACGGCTAAAACCTGGGCTCGGCTCGCCGGACGGATCAACACGACCGCCATCATTTGCCCATAACTAGGTCCATGCTCAATATGCTCAACCCCAAACCTAGGATTTAAATCTGGAGTAATCTGGAGTTTATATTCATTATTATTCATTGTTGGTGTTCCTAATAGATGTGAGATATTCATAGATCCTCAACATGGGTCCAGAGTTGTAAAATG